AAAAAAATGAGCACTGTCCGAACAGCAGGCCTTGAGCAAGGCAAGGCCCCAAGCGAAGGCAAGTTCTCTCTTGGTTGCTCTGCATCCTAGTCAAAGAGCAAGGGATGCAGCCTGCTACATGGAACGGCGTCTCAGATGCCTACACATGCAGGTACACATAGTACAGATAAAACCTTAGTTACAACAAGATAAGCGTGGAACAGCTTGCCATTTAGGTAGCAACAAAATTCTGTTATAGCTCCTTCATAGACCTCGAATTCCTCCCAGCTTCCTTTGTGCTTGATTATAAAATAAACATGCTGAGTTAGTTCAGGGCCACTTCTCCTCCATCAGAGGAAAGTGTCCCACCTGGCCCCAGCTTTTCTTTATGTCTTTGTGTCTGTGTCTTTCTTAATCTCTCGCCCACTACTCTCTCTCGGGACCCTCAAGGCAGCCGTATGGGCCACGGCAAGGACTGTCCTAAAAGAGCAAGAGTTAACCGGGCTCAGTGGCTCAGCCTGTAATCCCGCGCCTTTGGGAAGCTGAGGTGAGTGGATGGCCTGAGCCCGCGGATTCGAGACCCACCTGGGCAACTTGGCAAGACCTCATCTCTACAATAAATCAAAAATTAGCCGGGTGTGGTAGCGCACACCTGTAATTCTGGCTACTCGGAAGGCTGAGGCAGAAGGATCGCCGGAGCCCAGCAGGTCGAGGCTGCGGTGGCTGGGAGCAGCCACTGCCCTCCAGTCTGGGCGACAGAGTGAGACTCCAACTCAAAAAAAAAAAAAAAAAGAGCAAGAGTCATGAAAGAGACAAGGAGACAGCCAGTGATGTCACCTGAAGCAGGGAGTGGGAAGGGAAGAACCACCTGGCATTGCCCCTTCTCCTGTCCTGCAAACTTCAAGCACACCTAGAAGCCCAGGGAGGAAGGAGGCTGGGAAATGTAGTTCCCAGGAATAAACAGCAGAGCAGAAGGATGAGTTGGCAAATGCCCGGCACACCTTCCTTCCCAACCCACCTGGCTGGGCAGAGTCAGGGTGTCCATTTCGTCCCACTTCGGTCCCTCTCCCACTCTTTGACTTGTAGAGGAGGTTGGGGGAGGGGCTCAGTCACATCTGTTACAAATCAAGCCTAGAGGTAGCATTATTTAAATACTTTGGGGTGAGGGGACACATCACTGTGTGAGAAGAACCTCATAGTTTTCCTTTGCTTTTTATTTTCTATCTTCAGGAAAATTTTGCCATGTTTGCCTCTTGAGGAAAAGAAAGCCACGACTTGGATCTAGATGTAGATACTGCTCTCCTGTGTACTATCGGCAACTCTACCAAGTTTCTAAGTGGACTTCACCACAAGGCTCGCTGGAAATTTGGGGGTCATGTGCTCCCCTGCCACAACAATTTCTTCGTATCCTGGTTATGCCAGAGAGCACACAGCCTTGTAGAGATGTGAGTCAAGAAATGCTGCTGCGCCGGGCACAGTGGCTCAGCCTGTAATCCCAGCACTTTGTGAGGCCGAGGCTGTGAGGCTGGAGGTATCGGAGGGTGGGGCGGGCCTCAACAAGATGGCTTTAACCCGGACCAGGAGAACAATGGGCGAAAGTGAGTCCGCAAAAATGAATAACCAGAACTAAGACTCCAGCCGTAAAGCCAGCCAGTACCGGTTACAGTGACTCTAGCAACCCTGTTTAGTCAGTCGTCAGCAGACGCAACAGCTGTCTCAACCAGTGATCGCTCTTCTCAATCCCCCTTACAGCTTTTTCAGTGTGTCCTTTATAAACCCGTCGCCCATCTCATTGGGTGCGACTTTTCTGGCCCACAGTCACATGGACCAGTGAACCTCGCCCGGGATTGTGCTAATAAATTTTTCTTGGCTCCTTTGTTGCCATTTTACCTGGTCTGGTTTCGTTTACCTTACATTTGGTGCCAAAACCCGGGAGGATGGTGTGGGGCCCCAGCGGGCTCCCCCCTCCTCTCCCGATCCGGGACCTCTCTCAGGAACAGGACCTGGCCCCAGGACCTCAGACAACACGGTGAGTCCCTCGCTTTCCCTGACTTCTCCTCCTACCCTCCGGGGTGCCCAGTCCAAAATCGCAGCTGCGTCTGGGCTCACCCCTCCGGCATGGTGCCTTTGGCTCCGATGTAGTGGAGGCATCCCTATCTCCAAATTGCCAACCCTATAAACAGGAGCGAATTTTCCTTTCCATCCTATTCTAAGTGGGTCTGGAACGCTGGGCTCACTTGTTTAAGAACCCAGAAATGGAGATTGCGGCCATGGAAAGCCAGCCTTCTAAAACTGAGGCTCAGACCCAGTGT